TGTGTCAGTGGGGCCCATGGGGAGCTGGGCTCCCCTTCATTCCGCAATATCAGTGCATGTGGGCTCCACCCCACCGCCCCATCCACACCTGCATGCCAGCCGGCAGGGAAGAAGGTTACGTAAGACCCAGACTCTCACAGTCTCACACCCAAAATGTCCAGGATACAATGAAAATCTTGTCAGACCAAGAATGAGGACAATGGCAACTTGAATGAGCAAAGACAGTCAACAGGTGCCAACAGCGGCATGACTCAGAAGCTGGAATTATCTGACTGGAATTTCCAAGCAGCTGTCTCAAAACTGCTACCATAAGAACTATAAAAACTCTTAAAACAAGGAAAGCTGAGCTACAGGCCTACAGCCTAAGTCACCCCCATGCGGAGAGAGGGATTATTTTCCTTTCTTCCATCTTGGTGCTTTTTAGAGTCTCTGGATCAGTGGATGATGTGCAACACTTGGAACCAACAAAACTAACAATTCAACCAGGTACTTACTGAGACTCCACCACATGTTCAGAATGAGCTGCACTAACCAGGTACTTACTGAGACTCCGCCACGTGTTCAGAACCGAGCTGCACTAACCAGGTACTTCCCGAGACTCCGCCACGTGTTCAGAACCGAGCTGCACTAACCAGGTACTTCCCGAGACTCCGCCACGTGTTCAGAACCGAGCTCCACTAACCAGGTACTTCCCGAGACTCCACCACCTGTTCAGAACTGAGCTGCACTAACAGGCGATACAGAAACAAATGAGTGACTTGAGAATTTTGCTCTCCACTGTAACCCAGCGAGGATTCATCCAAACTCAATACCACCGAGTCAAGTGCCCCAACACAGGCAGAAATTAAACAGGAAGAACTGCACAGGATATAAAAACTCCACCCAAAGGCTGTGAGCGTGTTTTCCTACAGGGTGGGCAACAGAAACAAAGTTACTATGGAAGGAAAATGAAGGGATGAGAAAGAGGGGAATAAATAGCAGAATCAGGAGCTTTGTTGCAATAAGAGCAAAGGCACAAAGGAATATGCAGTAGGGAAGGGAGATGGGACACCCAAGTCTGCAAGCACGTCACAAAGACTAGTTCACCATCCTCTGACCTTAAGTGACAGAATGTAATATGGCACAACTGCTGTGTTCTGCTCTCGGAAAGAAAAAGGTAGAGCAGTCAGACCATTTTCAGTGAAATTCTGAGAATGTTTTGGTTTGAACTAGACTGCAAAACGCAAGAATTACCAGTCAATGCACGTGGTGTGGAGATGGTTTCTACTCCTATGGGTCCATCGTGCTGGGAAGTAAGCTAGACGCTGTGACAACAATAAAGGGTCCTCCCTTGGGCAGCGCCTGTGTCTCAGAGGAAGAGGGTGCCAGGTCCATATGCCGGACGTGGTGGGTTCAAACCCAGCCCTGGCCAAAAAAAATAGTGCAAAAAAAAAATAAAATAAAATAAAGGGTCCTCCCCCCAAAGCGCCTCAAGGGTAAGCAGGGCCCTGAGAGTCGCCCCTGCTGTGATGTAAGTGAGAGCCCAGTGAGAGCTGCCATCTGAGCCAGGAGGAAGAAGCCTTTCCTCAGGGTGACCCCCACAAGGCAGGAGCCTCTGAGGAGCACATTGAGCTTGGGGATGTGAAGCTCTGAACCCAAGAAAACCGCTGAAAATTCTCTGAAAGCAAAAACAACCAGACACAGGGACAGCAGAGAGCTAAGTCCTGGTCCCCCAGCAGTCACATGCTTGAGGGAAACACTTGGAGGTCTCTCGGGTCTAAGAGAGAAGAACAGAAAATGGAACCATCCAGGCCATTTGTGCCTTCCTTTTTCTCCCCTATAACCCCAAAACAAACAGGGCTCACTCATGAGACATGGTGATAGGGAAGGACAGTGGGAGGGCCATCCTGATGCCCAGCCAACCCCCAGCATGGCCCAGGACCTCCAGGTCCTGGGTCCCACCATGGGCCCACCCAGATCCAGGCCTGAGGCCCTGGTCTGAGACACTCTGCCACCAAAAGGACCTGCTTTGACCATAACCAGCTCTTCTCAGAACCTCTTACTTTGACTCTATAGCATCTTTCTGAAACCCTCAGGGACGGGGCTTCAACTGTAAGGTCACCTAGAACATGAGTCCTTAAGGGAATATCTTTCATCCCCAAACACATTCCTTGCAGGCTGGGGATGGGGCCACCCTATGACACGGTGCTCTCAGTACCCAGGACCAAGCCTGGTACCACATGGAGGCTCAGTAAGGAACTTACAGAGTGACCAAACAGGAAAAGTTAGGAAAGTGAGAACTCGTCCACAAACGTTTTCCATCAAATAGATTCTGTAATGTATTCAACTTAGCTGATTCTTGCTTTGGGTCACACTTGCTCTCCTTAACACAGGGGCCTATGACAGGTGCCACAGAGCCCCATCCACTGCCCAGGATGGGGACTGCCCTGAGAAGACTCTCATTCAAAAGCCCACAGGTCACATGCCCCTTGCTGTCTCCACGTCCCCACCAGCATATGGTTCAAGGCCTCTGTGGCCAGTTACACATAGTGTGCAGATGTGGAATGAATCAGCACAAATCCGCTTTCTAAAAGCCTCAGACTTTCTTCCTTGGACACCCCTGGGAACAGTATTACAAGAGTCGACTTGGAGACTACAGGGAAGAAGCAAGAGCATTCTCGTCCACTATCAAGGTGTCTCCTGGGCCACAGTCACTTGAGAGGTACAGGGAGTCCATGTGAACGTCCCAGTCAAGAAAAGGTTTTGTGGCTAAAACATTTGGAAATGACTTCCCTAGAGCAACTGCCAGCATGCCGCACTTCATTAAATCCCTGCTGGCCCCTGGGGATTCAAACTGGTCAAATGGAGGCCACAGACAGCCCCAGAGCCAGCACCCCACTCCTAGAGGACAGGCACCCCACAGCACCACAAGCTCCATGCTACCGGACCCTACTCCTTAAGCTGCTATTGATAACTGGATTTCAAGCCAAAAACAGAAAAATTAACTGTGAAATGAGGTTTCATTTCAATGCTGTGTCCATGCCAAGTAGTCCCTGAACAGACTATCAGAACTCACAGGTTTGAAGGAAGGAGAGTGTCCTCCAAAGGACATGTCCAGAAAAGAAAAGGACAAGAGGTACATGGCTGGTCCGATGATCCAAGAAGTGGGAGCTGGGGCCAGTTTCAGTGGCTTTTTGTCTTCTCAGCTGTGTCTATTCAATGTCAAGAAGGCCTGCCAGAAACACCAGTCCTAAGGCTCAGGGGTCTTCAGTATCACTGGCAACAAACTGGCTATGGAGGAAGGGCCTACAGCAGTGCAAAGGGGCAGCTGGGTCCAAGGAGGACGACCGTTCCCCCGTGACAACATCACTCTCTGACCCAGCATCACCCTCTTTCTCAGCAAGTCTATGCACACAGCACACAGCGCGCAGTGCACAGCGCACAGGGGGGCCTGCCACCTTGGACCTATGCCCAGGGGCTCACGCACCGCAGGGGTGAAGCTACTGTCGGCCACAAGGCGATTCTCTTCTCTGAGATTCCCTCTGAGATAGACGGTCCTGTTGCCTTCAGCACCTCTGCTATCAGAAGGAAGGTAAAGGCCTGTTGTACAAAAATCACGGTCTGTTCCACCAGGAGGGCAGTGGCTGTTTGGGAAGATCAAAGTTCATGGGAAAGTACGTCCCTCAGGGTGACCAGGGTGGGAGTCCTCTCTGCAAGGAGCTCCACCTCGCAGGAAGACAGCCCCAGAGTGTCAGCTGCCTGTCCACATGTGCACATTGTGAACTCAGCACAGCATACATAAAATGTCACTCAGCATGTAACACGAGGCTAAGGTAAGGTTGGTACTAGGGAAAAAGAGCCCGGAACTCTCCTGAGGCCTATGTATACGGGGAACGGTGAGAGCAGGAACCAGGTTCCAATCTCCCTCCAGGCCCTTGGGCTGGGTTCTCTTCTGTGATGGGCTGAACCATTTTGTCTCCAAAACATTCATATGATGAAGCCCTAACCGTCAATATCTCAGAAGGTGCCTGTATTTGGGAGATCCTATCAGAGGCAATTTAGTTAAAATCAGGTCACAAGGGTGGGCCCCCCAACCCAATATGACTAGTGTTCCTATGGGAAAAGGACAAAAGGTCACACATACACACAGGATGACCTGTGAGGACGTGGAGAAGGAGAGGGGCCTCGGGAGCAACTGACCCCTCAGTGACCTCGACTTCTAGCTTCCAGAACTATGGGCAATAGTTTTCCACTGTTTAACACCCAGTCTGGGGGACTCTGGATGACAGCCTGGGCTGACGAAATGCAGTGCTCCACCCTGGGGCAAAGGCCCCAGAGGCCTCTTGCTGGAAGGCTGCTCTGGCCTCTCAGCCCTCTCTGCCTGCAGCCCTGGCTGCACCTCCAGCTAATATCTCAGATCCACCCATGGCCAACCAAGAGGAAAGACAAGGTCCATTTCTACAAAGGGCTGCCTCAGGCTGATGCACTGAGGGAAGGTGGGGATGCCAGTTATCTCCTCTGGGCCTTCATTATTCACCCAACCCAATCTTAGCCATAAGGCAGGGGCAGCCCACATGCCCATGCCAGGAACCAGACACAGGACAACAGATGCCCTGTGTGTTCTGGCCTAGCTACACCAAGGAACAGTACCAACACTTGAGGGTTACCACGTGCCCAGAGCCACCCGGAAGGCAGGCACTGTCACCCCCACCTTACAGAAGGGCAGAGGAGACCTGTTTGGCTACCAGACTTGTCCCCAGGGAGTCTGATCCACAGAGATGGTTCAGGTATGGCCCAGGCTCTCCCAGCCCGACAGGGGTAAGCTCAGTGTTCCCCAGCAGTGCAGAGCCCAAGAGGAGACGGAGACACAGGCAGGGAGACTCCCTTTGGGAAAACTGGAATAAGGACCTGGGACTAGGCCTCCAGCAACAGGGTCACACATTTATTGACCTTGCCTTAATCAACATTAACAGACTCCTCTCCTGCAAAGAAAGCCTCTGGGTATCAGGGAGAGCACTCACCCGTCAGGAGTTGGCTCGGCGGCTCTGTCTGCCGACGCGGCCACCTAGCTCCACGAAGAGGATGCTGGCGAGGACACAGCCACTGGTCACTGGGCCTGCAGCTGCCCTTTCCTGCTCAGCATTGCGGTCAGCTCCAAAACTGAAAAGGAAAGAGGCCATCACTGAACTCACACTGGACTTGTGCAAATGTGAACTGGTGCTCAGCGCCCAGGACTAAAATTTTTAAAGCAGATGTAAAAGAAAATGATTTTTTAAGGAGATCATTTAAAAGGCTCTTCCAAAAAACAAAACGAGAAAGCGAGTCCATGAGAAGTAGCCTTCTAGTTGCCACATCATGTAGCTGCAGGTACAGATGCCCAGAGACCAGAGGATGGAAGAGGAGTAACTGTCCGCGTGGCCATCCCACCCCAAAGCAAGCGACTCCCAAGGCAGTGAGGTATGGGGCTCACAGATATTTGCCCTCCTACAGGCAAGGTTACCTAAATTCACACTTTGAGCCTGGACCAAAGCTCACATTCTTCTCGGAGGTCCCCCCAGGCTACAACCCAGCATCCACACGGCAGGGATCTGCCTCTCCCTCCGCCCAGGCACCAGGCACAGTCCACGGTCCTCTCAGCAGAGGCCTCACCAGGCCAAATGGGACACTAAGTGGTGCACGCCTGTCTCAGGGAGGGACGGGTAGAGAGCGGGCAGACCTGGAGGCCAAATCCTGGCTCTGATCTGCTAGGATTCAGCACTCAAATCCCACACCCTGAGGGCTCAAGACACTGCTCTGGGCATGGAGAAGAGGGTGAGAACGAGTCTAACCCTGCCCTGCCAGTGATGACAATATAGTGAGCTGGGCAACTTACCAGTCCTTCCAGACCCTGGTCCCTCTGCAGGGCACTGGGAATAAAGCCCACCTCACTGAGGACTTTAACACATTACACTGGATCCCACTGGGTTCTCACATTTCTAAATAAGACACACAAGAAGACTTAACGGAGCGACTAACACACAGCAAGGATGCAACCGTGGAGACTGCTGCTACCGCTGTGTCCAGCTAGGCCACCACCTGTGACGTGGGTGCTCTCAACAGACCACTACATTAAAGACTGGAAAACCAAATTTTCCTAATCATTAAATGGTGAAAATAAAAATTGTCCCTGCCTTACCTGACATAGAAGAAGTCCTAGGCCTAGATACAAGCAATGTATAAATACAGCCATCAAAATGAGTGTTTAAAAAACAGAACAAAACAAACAAAAAAATGTCCAGCTGGACACACCTGCTAAGAGCTAGACCTGGGAAGCAGAGGGGCTGGACTCACCTCCTGACATCACCCCCTGGTGGGGCGTGTGGGGAAAGGACTGAGGTCTTTGAGGTGTCCCACCTATAAATCAGGTCTCTCTTTCATAGACCTTTCATGATGATTAAGTAAGCTAATGCATATAAAGGCAAGACAGGATCCAACACAGAGTAAACGTTAAATGTACTAGTCACTATTAATTATGATGCGCCAAATAATTCTCCCACTGACAGCTGCAAAACCCACTGGCTGCCTCCAAGCTCTGAGGCTTGCTGACGTTTAAACAAGATGCTACCCATATTGGAACTGAAAGGGGAGGTGTGTGATGCATGGCTATTTGACTGGTCAACCCCGAACACTACTGGAATTTACAAAGGCGTTTTATTAAGGGCATTGCTTTTAACTCTTCCAGAGAATTTGAAAGTTAGAAAAATATCATGCTGATTATGTCAACTGGCATATTTCTAAATTCTAATAGCTTACACTGACCACAAGCTGAAAGACAAACAAAAAATTGTACATAGTCAAATAGGTGTGATGGTCCTGGAAATGACAATGGTGGAAAATGGACTTAGGGTCACCGTGAGGATAGCAGATGAATTATTCTAATCCCCATATCATTAGAGGTCCCATCTCCAGGGAGCCTAATCTTTTTCCCGGATTTACATACGAATGCCCCAGGACTGCTTCCCAATGCACCTGGTTTCACATTTAAAAATGTGCTCGGGAGGTTTGCTGTGTGTCATGGGCACAATAAATACAGGGCGTCCATAAAGTTTGTGTGCAACTTACTATGTTAAACTATTTTTAAATTGCACACAAACTTTATGTCCACCCTGTATATAAGGTATACTGAAATATAGTCCACCCTGTTAAACTGGTCACTATGTCACTCATTTTTGTCTATTTTCAGGAAAGCTGACATTGAACTTTACAGTTAACAAAAGGCCCCATGACTTCTGAATGTGATAAACTGAAGAGTGAACAAGTTCAGTATCTACCTAGTAACCTGAGTGCCAGCAGCAGACCTGGGAGAGCTTGGCCCTGTTGACAGTGGCCCCTCCAGCACCCTGAGTGCAGGCCACCACATCACATGCTGACCTGGATGGTGGGACTTGCACCTACCGGGTCAACACAGAACTTGCCCAGCTATCTGCCTACCGGTCACGATGCGACATAAACTTGAGATCTTAAAGAATATACTAACCTGGGCAAAAATAAATAATGTCTTAAATTACCTCCAAAATATTTCGAAAACAAAGGGCCTCTTGATTTCTGTTTAGTATCTTTAATATCTTCCAAAAATTCCTGAGCTAACATAAAGTTTTCCTTCTGTCCAGTTCTCTCACACTAAATATTTAGAGTAATAACAGTGACTATTTAGACACTCAATAAATCCCAACTTTCAAGACAAGAGTATTCAGCATGGTCAGCCACACAGCTCTGGAGTGAAGTCCAGGCCTTCTCAGAACGGGGCAGAATGCTTTGAACTTAAAATATTAAACTCCATTTTGTACTGACATCAGGGACTTGGAGACGACAGTTTTCTCACAGAGTAAAAAGGTGCTTATGAAGACAAATTGAAAAATATGTGAATAAAATGGAATTGAAGAGAAGACAAATTTCTGAAAAACAATTTTAAAACTTCAGGATGTTGTTGCCAGACCCCACAGATACCTTATAACTGAATCAACAATTAAACACAAAACTACACTACTTTTATCACGGGCATCTTCAGATACCTTCAGACCAGATTACACAAATCCAGCAGCCACAGTCCGGCAGCAGAAGGAAGTTAGAAGGCAGGGCCCTTTCCCACCTGACTGCCCGCATCACAGTCACCCTCACACAGATGTCCAGACCCACAGATGCTCCAGTTCCTGACACACAGGGCACAGGACCCGCCTCTCACTTATGACACCCATGTGCTTTAAACCGTTTCTAGATTACTGATCATACCTTACACAATGCACATGCTACACAAGTAGTTTTTGTGCTGTATTTTTTTCTATTTGTATTCATTTGTATTATTATATCATAATTTTTTATTATTTTAGGTTTTTTTCTGAATATATTTGATTTGCAGTTAGTTGAATCTGTGGGTGGGGAGCCTGTGGGTACAGAGGGCTGACTGTGCTTTTGAAACATCAAGTACATAGAAAACATTCTGCAGTGTGGATCTACTCAGAAGAAAAGAAGTTGTTTTATCAAAAAGACTCCCGTACTTGAAGATTTATTGCTGTAGCACAATTCACAACTGCAAAGACATGGAATCAACCCAATGGTTATCAATTCACGAGCGAATTAACAGAATGCAATATATATACACCATGGAGTACTACTCAGCTATAAAAAGAATGAATCAATGCCTTTGGCAACACTAGGGATGAAACTGGAGACCTATATCCTAAGTGAAGTACCTCAAGGCTGGAAACACACACCACATGTACTCCGTGTTAAACTGGAAGTAAGTGATGAGCACACATGTACGTAAAGAAAAGTAAACTCAGTGGAAATCAAGCAGGGGAGGAGGGTGTGGCAGGGAAGGGAAAGGAGGGGCGAGAACCTGCCTAATGAGTATGATGAACACAGTTTAAGGAAATGGGCACACCTATGTCCTTGACAGAAGTGTGACCAAAGTGAGCCATGGGACCAAAACATTTGTACTCCCTTAATATTTTGAAATTAAAATAACATTCAGCAATAACTTAGCTGTGACAGTCCCATTCACTTGACCCCTCCCTTGCTGACCTGTCCCCTAGCACACACCAGGAGATGTCCACAAAGAAGGTGAGTGAGAACACAGGGTGGGACACTGACATACCAGAAACAGCTTCTGAACTGGCTGCCATCACTGAAACCAAAAAAATTCAACCAAAATGTGTAAATGGGCCCAGAATAACCCGGGTCTCCATTCCAGAGCCAAACAGGTCCAAAAATCCTAACCCTCCTCACTGTGGGGGCTTGGGGAACCAAGCAGGTACAAAGGTGGGTTAGGCAAAGAATGCTCATCCCACCAGACATGCCAGAAATGCAACAAGAGGGACGCCACCCATTCTACACGTAGCCCAAGCTCAAGACAGACAGGACGGAGACACACGCGCACAGAAACCAACAGAGAAGACACCACAGCTCATGAACACAAACAGGCACACTTCAGTTCAGTCCCAAGAATAGCCTTGCACAAACTGTAAAGTGTTACAACACTTACTGGGGACATATAAAAAGACCTGAATGAATGAAAACGTGCTAAGTGCCTAAATAGGAAAGTTAAACATTACAAAGATTTTGATTCTCTTATAAGTAATTATTTCAAAAATTAAAAATAATGTTATACATGAAATTCAAGCAGCATTTTTTTCTTGGAACCCAATAGAATAATTGTAAAATTAACAAAATAAGTGGTAAGATGGTTAGTCAGAGAACACAAAGAGAGAATTACTCTCATCACACAGTGAAGCCAAAGTGTTAGAACAGTGTGCGGCTGGCACAAAAGGGCATCTACCATCCCCCGGGAAGTGCTGCCTCTACAGACCAAGCACTTCACCAGGGCACCTGGGACTGCATGGCCACACTGGAGGAGGAGGAGCCGTGTGTCTTCGCTCCCTCACAGCCAAGTGTGCAGGGCCCACAAGCCTAGAACTCCAGGGTTTCCAGATCTTCTTGGCTCTCCACGGGATGCCTCACCAGGTCATGAGGACACCTGCAATGGCCTGTGAGGACAGTGGCAGCCATCCTTGGCTGACAGTCCATTACATACAAGTCACATCTCTACAGTCTCTCCTAAGGGCTTTCTGAAGATCAAATGAAAAGGAGTAAAGGCACAAGAGACACATCATACATGTGTAGGGATCAGGGGCTCTGAATTAAGAACTAAATATCAATCCT